ATGTCTGTGAGAACCACGAAGAGAATGGGAGAAGAGGAGAGGGGTGAGCGTGAAGTGGTAGACTCGGTTTTAAGGGTGGAGTTTGTTTGCCAAGTGAAGTGAGAGCCCACAGTCCACCTCTGCTTGTTGGGTCCCCGTCACTCCCTGCTGGCCTGCCTTCTCTCTCTCTGCTCCGGGGATATGGTACGGATATGGGGATACTCTGGCCCCGGGAAGCACACTGACGACCTTGTCTTTCATCGCTGGGCCTCCTTACATGTTCCTTACACGCAGGAGAGCTGGACCCAGGCACTCTTCGCCTCCAGAGAGCTGAACCCAGGCACACTTTGCCTCCGGAGAAGGAGCCGTAAATTAGCTCTCATCATCCCAACTCAGCTGCCAGCGAGGATGAAAGGCACCGGCTTCTCAGGCTTGAGACAGCGCTGTCCTGATTCATGGTCTCAGAACAGCAGTCAGGCTGTCTTCCCGGACCAGGAGGAGCTGAAGGATGATTACCTTTGCCAGCTCTCCCCTAAGCCTGTCAGCCTTCAGCCCGAGAAGGCAACACTGACTGAATGACTCAATAAGCGAGGACAGAGAAAGGATTTTCACAGTTAACAGAGTTTTGGGCATAACCCGCTTTTCACAAGGAGAATTCAATTTTGAACCTTTGTTTTCAAAATGCCATGTTTCTTGCTTGATTTTCTTTTTGGTTCCAAGTGTCCTTCAGAGGGGAGATGGTTGAAATTGGGGAAGAAAAGCAATTTTCCTTTTATGGTATAATAGGACTTTTAATCAGAGTCATGTGAAGTGCCTCCCAGACTTAGGATGATTCTCAGCCCGCTAAATAAGAAAGATTTGAGATTCTAATGGAGAGCTATTTGGAAATCCCTCACAGGTTTCCTGCCTGTTGGTTATCTGCTCAGAGGACAGTGTTTTTACCCTCAAATCCCAAGAATTTCATCGCCAAAGATGCATGAAATGCATGTCAAACTAAGGCCTTTTATCGGATTGGCTCCTTTTGCTTTCCAGAGGGAAAAGACAGTTCTTATAGCCTGTATCAATTTCCTTCATCATCCGGTCCATTGTAAGAGATCATCTGCAGGCAAAAGGGCCTCCTGGTGATAGATGTCCTTTTACAGCAAGGAGTCGGTGAGAAGCCTGAACTCGCCTCCAGCTGCAGAGGGTTTGTGCGAGCCCCTCTTGTTTGCTTAGTGTGCTTTCATTCTTTTGCCCTGTAATAGCATCCTAGCTCCTTCGTTGTTAAAAATCAACAAAAATAAAAATCAACCTCATGGGTTTACTTGCCATCTGTATTCGGTGGCTTGCCCGATTCTACTGATAGCTTGGGTCCCTGTGCCCACTGATCACCTGGGGGAATGACACAGGTCCTGGCTCCCCTGCAGTAGTCTGAAATTTTATAGAAAACTTATTTTTGGCCAACACTGAAGTCCAATGTATAAGCTCAGAGTATGTCTGGCATAGTAGATAAAGGGGAAAGAAACTGTCAGTGAAGAGACACAATTCAAAGAAACTCAAACTTTGGTTGCTTCGTTTAGGATAAATAATCTGAGAAGACTAAGCCCTGGGCCAAGCATGATAGGACATACTTGTAACTTGAGTACTTGCAGGTCATGGGTTCAAGTTCCTTTGAGGCCGTAGAGTGAGACCGTGACTCCAGAACACCAAAACCCAAAGCGGTCAGTGCACTAAGGGTTGCCTTTGCCTTCGTGTATTTGTGTGTGTGTGTGTGTGTGTGTGTGTGTGTGTGTGTGTATGTGAGAGAGAGAGGGGGGTGAGAGAAGAGAAAGAAAGCACCCTGTGTTCTCAGAGGGTATTTATGTTTGAATTGGCTTTGATTTTACTCATGTCTTTACTCACAGGACACTAAGCATTTACATGACATTCTCTACTTCCTAGGCATCCACTCACTAGAAGAGATGCCAGAGCTGTCAGAGACTGAAGGTTGTCCACGTTTGCTTGTTTGCTTATTTGTGTTTGTTTTATGTTTTCCTGAGGGGAGGATTCGTGCAGCCCAATCTGGCTCAAATTCACCCTGTAACTGAAGCTGGCCTTGAACTCCTAACCCCCCTGCCTCTATCCCCAAAGTACTGGGATTGTGTACAATACCCAGCTCAAGATTGAGACACCAGACAACTTGCACAGTGTCTGTGTGGAGCTCTGCGGGCCAGCTTACTGCCCACACCCATTGGGCTTCGCTCCCAGTTACCCACAGCCAGCACACACAGCCTCCCTTTCCTGGGGCTTTTCTCTGTTGTTTCTGTATGGATGTCCATCTGTCTCTTCCTCCCAGCTTGCTTTCTAGCACCTGAGAGCCATACCTCATGGTTGTGTTTGTCCTTTTCTCTTACATAATTGAAATGATTTTCATACAATATATTTTGATCATATTCCTTCCCCTCCCTCACTCCTTCCAGATCTACCCCACATCTCTGCACACCTAAGTTCATGTGCGCTCTCTCTCTCTCTCTCTCCCTCTCTCTAAAAAATAGCGAGAAGAGTGAAAAGCAAAACTAAAACCATCCAATAGCATAACAAGACCTATACAAGTTTACACCAGACAAAATTCCATCGTGGAGAAGGGAAGGTGGATACAAAGTCCCACTCCTTACAGAGAAGCTATTTCCAGTTGATTCCTGCTGGGCAAGGGAAAGGGAAAACCTGTCTTGCCCAGTGCAATAACACTGGGTGTATTAAAAGCCCACTCCAGGGCAGACTCTGTGCCCCAAGAGCAGCTGGTCAACAGAAAATGGACTCTATTGTGGACTTTATTTATTTATTTAATTGTTTCTGAAAGCAAGGCTGTGTACTGTGATATCAGGATTGGTTTGGGAATCTCTGAAGTGAAGGGCCATTCGCTCCTAGAGCTCTCGGAGCTGAATCAAATTCTCTCAAACAGCCATATTCTTTAAAGGTCTGCAAACGACTCAACCTTGACTGAGCAAAACTTTGTAAATACAGAAAAGGGAAACATGATTCTGGGCTCTCCTTAGTATGTCATTACCTGCGACTGCAGGAGACATGGAGCCTCTTAACTTTTGGAAACTTTCCTAAGGTTGCCACAGTGATCCTCTGACAAACTTGCAGCTGAGTATATGACGAGGACATAATTCAAACCCCTTGCCTGTCTGCAGCTCACTTGCCCAGTGACCCTAGTATGCGTTTGATAAAAACACCAGATCATGTATTTTCTTTTCCATGGCTGTAAAAGTTCCTGTGGAGCTGGGCATGATATCAGACATGTGTAACTCCACACCTGAGCTGTGGAGGCCGGGGACGGAGAGCTTCAGTCCAGCCACTGATGCACAGCAAATCTGAGGGCAGCCTGTGCTATGATCATTTCTGTTTATAAAAAACCCTATAGAAGTCTGAGGGGTCAAGGACATCACAAGAAAACCTAGAGAATCAACTAACCTGGGCTCATAGGGGCTCACAGAGTCTGAACTGGCCATCAGGGAGCCTGCATTGGACTGACCTAGGCCCTCTGCATGAATGACAGTTGTATATCTTGGTCTACCTGCAGAAATCCTAACAGTGGGAGCAGGAGCTGACCCTTAGGGCTTTGACTGACTTTGGGGAACTTATTCCTCAAACTGGGTTCCCTTGCCCAGACTTAAAACAAAGAGAGGTGCTTAGTCCTACCCCAACTTAATATGCCATGTTTTATTGATATTTATCGGAGACCTGCCCCTTTCTGAACAGAAATGAAGGAGTGGATGTGGGTGGAGTGGATGCAGGGTGGAGAGATTGGGAGAAGAGAGGAGGGAAGGGACACTGAGGTCAGGATGCAAAATAAATAAATAAATTTAATTAATAATAAAAGCCATTAAAAGCTAGAAACAAATAGCAACAAAATAGCAAGCTTTCCCATGGTGTAACCAAGTCTCTGTTTCCAAGTCATAATCGCTCACATTTAGCTCAGAATAAGCAGACAAAGCCCAGGTGGTATTTTCATCTCTGCAGCCCCTTCTCTATTTCTTTTCCGGTCATGTTCACCCTGGCCTCTCTCTCTAATGGAAAACACCCAGACAAATTTAACATGCTCTTCCCATAACAGCTACAGAGACCCTGGAGTTTCCAAACACCATTCAGATCACGTCTGTAGCTGGAGCATGACAGAACATGGCCATGACGTGTGTAACTCAGGCAGCTCTGCTGAGGAGGACACAGCGTGACGCTGCATCATGCTATCCACGAGACACTACCAGCCTGCTTACAGGAGTGACAAATGTGCCAGGAAACACACGCATTAGAGGTGTCCCGGCCCCACCATGCCAGCCCATTCACCTCTCTAGCTATGGTCACCACCTTCTCTTCTTCATACCTTGATCTAGAACGGTTCTGAGAACCAGTCCCCAAAGAAATACCATGGAGGCTTATTATAAATGCAACAGTCTTGCTGAACATATGACAAAACATTGAAGAGATAATTATCTACATTCCATAAGGTCTATATATAGAAATATTATATTGTTAAATATTCAGAACATTTTCCATATGATTTCTTTTCATCAAGATAACATTTCTTTTTCATCTTTCCCTTTCCATTTCTTAATGTTAAAGGCAATGGTATAGATTATCTATCTATCTATCTATCTATCTATCTATCTATCCATCTATCTATCTATCTATCTATAGACATGTATGTGTGTATATGTATACATATTAAACAGAGAATAATAGTTGTTGTTGTCTTTGTAACTTTTGTGAATTATTCTACCATGAAAACCAGAAGGCTTTGGCTCTATGCCCATAGGGAGCAAGTGCAAAATCATAATTCATATTTTTTTCTGCTAAAAAGATAGCTGAAGGGAGGTCTTCATATTAGTTAACCATGACAGGAAATGGTCCAGGAGATATCACGCATAATTCACAAATCATGTGCAAAAAAGCAGACATGCAAGAGGCCTGTGTCAATGAAGGACAGTCAGCCATCTTTGGGTTGTGACCAAAGTACCCAACCTCTCCCTCAATTCAGAAAGCCGACTGCGAGCCCTTACCTTGGAGGGCCTGTAAGCTGTGAGTCTGTACGATGATGCAGAGCTGCAGGACCAACTGTGGAGCGCTTTCCAGAAAGGTGGCGAGCAGGTGCAGCATGCTCACATCAGCATACTCGTATACCATTCTCCAGTAGAACCGCCACCTGCCGCTCTCCCCGCTCTGCCGACTCCGAATACCCAAGTAGATCGTGTGCAAATACCTGAAAGGGAGCAGCGAGAGAAGAAGAAGAAAGAGATGAGTGACAACTTGAAATTCAAACTCCCAAGTCGTTTTCCTTTGGTACAAGCCGCCATATTCAAGCATGTTCTCAAAAGGGCATGCTCAGTCTTCCACGTTCAGTTCGGGAGATCACAGCTGTGTGTTCCCTTCTCAGGAACCCCATTGAATCATATGTTCTCATCTCACTGAATCGCAAGAGCACACAGTCATCCATCTTGCCATGGGTGGGAAACAAGATTTCGTGGGCAACGCCTCCTGCAGCAGGAAACGTAATCTGGCCTGGCTGGTTGCGGAACCCACCACAGGGAAGACTTTCAGGGTAAGTCAGTGTGAGGAAAGTTGAAAAACAGTGACAAGCAGGGAATAAGCACACCCTCAGCGGGTGGTTGGGGTGTGGCTGGAGGATAAAGATGCTCCGACACACTCAACAATAGCTGCATACAGGATTTGGTGGCTTTTGCTGCTGTTATGTATTTGTTTTGTGTGCTGCTAGGAACTGGGCCTAGGGTCTTATGTAATCTAGACAAGCACTCTACCCGCAAATGACATCCACAAGCTTAATTTTCTGGGGTTTGAATTAGGCTGTTTAAAGGGGCTTTAATTTACAAGCAGATTCAAAGATTAAGCGAAGTTTAAAAATCTGTGGAGTTTTAAAATTAATGAAGACCTAAAAACTGTTGTTTGTTTCCCTCATAGAATAAACCTTTGCAGATGAAATCATAACCTATCAGGAGGCGAACTGTTTCGGTTCATGAAGAGAGGATTGTCGTTGATGTGGATGAAGATAACGCTGAGGCTGTAAGACACATGTTTTAGATTAAGCATGGCTCGTGAGCTGCTTTAAACGCACTTGTCTGAGCTGCCCCTCAGAGAAGGGAGGATGATCTCATTCAGTCCTCTCAGAGTCTTGGCTCTCAGCTAATCAGACACATGAAGACCCTAGGGGAGAGGGACTCCACCTTCCCTGTGCCTTACTAGTTTCTCCCTGTTGTATCCTCTGTTCTACACTCCTGTTCTGCAATGTTTGCTACAGATTGATGCTCACTTCCAGAGTCTGCCCAGAGCACCTCCTATACTCTGTGTCTCTGCTATTGCTGTTTATTGGACATGAATCAACACCACTAAACTTTGGTTTCTGTGATTTTCTTACTCTGGAATGCCAGAGTACAAACATCATCATCAACCCCCACTGTCTCTTCCCATCCATGTAGGACTGTGGGTCTATCATGTGTACCAACTGTTTTTATTCATAGTTTGACCAGAGAAAAGCAATGCTTTTGTACTTATTCACTGTTATGTTAATTTCAGAACATTACTACCAAAAAAGCAAAGTATCTTTTATTTATGTACTCTTATTCCTTCAGTTAATTTATATACTTTGGTTCATTCAGTGAGTACATACTGAACATGAAGTATATCTATCATTTCTGTTTTTCCCAAGGAAATGTAAACCTGCTGGTTAATTTTGAATAGAAAAGAAAGAAATCTGACTTGTGTTTTACTCCCATTGGCCATTGCTTGGGAAATAGAAGACAATAGAGTAAAGGAAAAAGAAGAGGCACTGACTTGAGCTATTGGAGTAGCCCAAGTGAGGAAGACAGTGGTACTTATGGTGGGAGGCTATCTGGGCTGGGGTCTATCCTAAAGACTTTATGGACATCTCTTGCATTTTGAGGGACCAAATTAATGAATAAATACACAACTGCATTGAAATTATCTTTTGAACTTCCACTGAGGGCTCCCTGAGTTACTTTATGTCTGGGTCCCTCTGGGAGAAAATCATGCATATTCATGACATTTTGATGCCATGGGCTTAAAGGCTACAAACAGCTTTGTGGTCCATGGGCTTCAAGGACTGATACTCCTGGCACAAGAAACCATTATTTCCTAGCACTTTGAATGCACAGTAGGCCCAGTAATATGGGCAGGATTCCAGAAAGCAAGTATTTGGTGTATTGGAGTTTCACATGGACGAGACCTAAAATGAAGCCTTCCAACAACACAAGACAGAATCCAAATACTTCAAAACCAAGGCGGGTGAGTAAAGTTACCACACATCTTAGGTAGTTTTCCTAGACTTTTTATTTTTTAGTGTGCTAGAATAAATGACACCAAGTTTAGCACCTTAACCATTTCATGTGATCAGCTCGATAACATCAGTACATTCATATTGCTGCACATCTGTACTCCCCACCTATCAGCAGAAGTCCTTTCCTCGCACAAAACAAAGCTCCCGTGCTGATTCCCAAACAGTGCCTAGCTCTGACACCCTCCTCCACTGCCCCTGGCCTCTGGCTACTTCCAATCTCCTTTCTGTGAATATCTTTCTCCTAGCATTTAAGTTTGACTACACAGTATCTGTTTAGTGATTGGTTTATTTCAATTACTATAACATCCTTAAGGCTTATCCATCAGTGGTGGGTACCAAATTCCATTCTAGATAGGAAGTTTTTTAAGGCATGGATCTTCACAATAGACTACGTGATGTGTCTAGTTTACAAAGAATGAAATGAAAAAAAATTCCCTAAGAAGGTCTCATCTATTGTTGCCTAATAGTCTTCCACCATGAGACAGGGGCTGAGGTGATCATGTGAAGTACCAAACTAGGGATACACTTGTGCTGCTTGTCTTAAAAAGTAGCTACAGGTTAGGAACGTGCATAAGCACTTCACTAAAAATTAATTAAAATACAGTATGATATTATGTACATAACAAGAGGGATTCAAGTTTAAGTTTAAGCGTGTGAATCAGTTCATAGTCCATTAACTCACTGTACCTTAGGAGGACAGGTTCAAGGACTCCCTTCAGATACCCAAGTCTTTGGATGTTCAAATCCCTTACAGAAAGCCTATGAACGTCCTTCCCTATCTGGACATAATGTCCAGATTACTCATAACATTTAATATAAAGCAAACAGAAAGAAACAGGAGTCATACTGCGTTGTTCAGCAAGTAATGCCAAGAAAAGGTGTGACCCCCACAAGGACACGTGATCAACTATGTTCATAGCAGCATTATTCGTAATTGCCAAAATCTGGAAACAACCTAGATATTCTTCAAGCAAAGAATGAATAAAGAAAACATGGTGCATTTGCACAATGGAGTACTACTCAATGGTAAAAAAATAACGACATCTTGAAATTTGTAGGCAAATGGATGGATCTAGAAGAAAACATATTGAGTGAGATAAGCCAGACCCAGAAAGACAAAACATTTACTCACTCATAAGTGGCTTTTAGACATAAAGCAAAGAAAACTAGCCTACAGTCCACAACCCTAGAGAACCTAGACAACAAAGAGGACCCTAAGATAGACATACATGGATCTATATATGAAGGAGAAAAAGACAAGATTGCCTAAGTAAATTGGGGATGTGGGGGTCATGGGAGAAGGGGAGAGGGGAAGAAAAGAGGGGAGCAGAGAAAAATGTATAGCTCAATTAAAACAATTAAAAATGGGGGTACAGATTTAAAGAAAGAATTCTAAATAACAGAAACTTAAGTGGCTGAAAAATACTTAAAGATGTGATTTCTTCTGTTTTGGATACACTGTGGGTTTAATCTGCAGGAACTTTTATACCTTTCCTGAGAGTTATCATTTGCATATGTCTGCTTCTGTCTGTTCTTGTGACTGGATGATTTCCCCACAGATCATTTTTAGTACGGACATGTGCATTTTTAAAGGACTAATCCTCATTTTGGCTTCTTATATGGGCCATGATAACTAAATCATAACCACCATTTCGTGTTTTTACTACAGCATTATAGCCTAGACCCATGCGATGAATAGGATAGAGGGATTAACAGATCAGTTGTCAGGGCTACAGGACTGAAAAGTGGAGATTGGACTCAGATCCTAGGTATGCTGGTGCCAGGCCTATAATCTTTTATCATGCCCATTTGGCTTCAGTAATTCTGAAATTTACCACATATAAGACACAGACAGAATTGACTACATTTTTCCTGTCTTCCGTATGCTTTTGCTGTTATAACTGAGAGAAAATAAGTGTCAAGGTGAAGAATTTTAGGTCTGGATAGGAGTTGGATTGTGGTACTAGTTTGTTATGGAGTATTAATTGAAGATGTGTTACATTTGTTTATGCTGTCGAATATTTGCTTAATGATGCAACGATGTGTTGCATTCTTTTATGTTGCATTTGTTTAACTCTGTGAAGCTGTGTTACTGTGCCTGCCTAAAACACCTGATGGGCCTAATAAAGAGCTGAACGGCCAATAGCTAGGCAGGAAAGAGAAATAGGCAGGACTGGCAGGCTGAGAGAATAACTATTAGGAGACATCTGGGAAGAGAAGATTGAGGAGAGAGAAAAGAAGGGGCCTGTCACCCAGCCAGCCAGCCAGTCATGGAGCAAGAGTGAAAGTAAAATTATAGAAGTAAGAAAAAGAAAAATCCCAGGGGCAAAAGGTAGATTGTATAACTTAAGAAAATAAATTTTGGCTAGAAATAGACTAGCTAAGGCCAGGCATTTACAAGTAATAAGTCTACATGTGTGATTTATTTGTGAGTTGGGTGGTAGTTTCCCCCAAAGAGCAAAGAGTCAAAAGAGTACAAAACAAACAAACTAAAAAACAAAACAAAACAAACATGAGATTTTATGTATAAATTATCTCGTGAGCAGCTAGTAATGTCAGATGCCATTTAGAATAAGTCTGTCTGTCTCAGGAGGTAATTATAGAATATCAAAGACAGCCTTTGGATTTTTTTAATTAATTAATTAATTAATTTAAAATCTCCACCTCCTCCCATCCTTCTATTTCCCTCCCACCTCTCCCACTTCCCCTCCCCCTCACTCTACAGTCCTAAGAGAAGTCAGGGTGCCCTGCCTTGTGGGAAGTCCAAGCCCACCCCCCACTCCATCCTTGGAAGGTATGCATCCAAACAGACTAGGCTCTGTGGAACTGATCTAGTGGGAGCTCACCAAGGCCAGCTGGAGTGGGTCTGAACGAGCATGTGATCAAACCGG